GCAGTAAGAAACAAGGGACTATTAATGGCACTGTAAAAATCCCCGGTAAGACAATAGATAGCTGCTCTTGCTGGTTCTGCTCCCCATGCTCAGACTGCAGCAGGTGAAGGGATGAGCTGCAAGGATGATTCAGATTGTGGAAAGTCTGTTATACGAAAGGAAACTAAAAAAAGGATGGCTTGTTTTATCTCATGCAGTGAATGCTGAGAGAGGACTCCCTATAAATACATCACGGATGAGCACACAGAAGGGAGAAGCGCTATTTAAGCAGAAGCACAATTTTGGCAGGAAAGAATTATGTGAATAAACTGAATAAGAGTATATTAAGGCTGGGAATAGGAAGATTTCCACATTTCCAAGGAGCTGCAGGAGGATTCTTCTTCCTGCACTCTTACAGTAGTAGAAATGGTGGAAAAAAATTAATTTTGTGATGGGGCTGTATCACTTTATCATGTAGTTTCTTTTAGAGGGCTGCCTATGACAGAAGGGAAATGAATTGACCTCAAAGGTCCTCTCCAGTACCAGACTGCATGCAGGACTATAAGATTTGTATTCACCAGCATTAAATCATCATCTGAAATTCATCTACATGCTGCTCAGCTTACACACGCACACATCTTATTCCCGCAGTTATAACCCACATAGAGGGAAGAAAGGACTCAGTTATGGTTAGTATTTAGGTCCCTATGGCAGATGGAATGTTCCAATGTCACCTCAGTACACACCATTCACATCCTACCTCATGCAGTAGAGAACAGTAAAATTAACACTTTCTTTAGCCTCATACACAGTGCAGACAACACTCTCTGACCAAGTGTTCAGCAGAAGTAAACAGAAATGTGTTTCCCTCCACAGGAGGATGAGGAGAGGTCTTCATCCAGTTCTCCTAGACAGGGAAATGGCTGATACCATTTTTGCACAGATTTGATTTTTCATAGACATGAGACAAAGCCTTCTGAGCTGAGTTCTGCTCATGGAATCCCCCTTGTCATGCTACTTTTGTTTCAGAGGTTATTAACACTGCTGCCAAACTACCCTTTCTAACTGATTATAAACCAGAGATTTTAACATCAATTTGCACTATTTTATGGAAAGCCACCTTGACAGTGTCCAATGTTTTTCAGGCTTTATGGTGTATTTTCATACAGCTTCTAATTCAGTTCTCCACAGTGCTGTACATGTGCACGTGTTACACGTGTGTTTTAAACCAGGAGCTCACTACTGATTACTTCTAACATACTCTTTCCCTTAGTGACACCAATTAAGATATAACCTTCCATCTACACTTGTTCTTCATGGCTCAAATAAGCTATGGTTTTTGTTAAATGGAAGCCTGCCTCAGCCAGTCTGTTGGGCTTTCTCTTCCCCCATCAGTGTTTCCTAAATATTAAAAGCTAAATCTTCTGTGGTTATGCCAATCATTTAGTGATGCATTGATCTTGCTAGAGACAAGTAATATTCTTTGCAGAAAGCAGACATGTATTGCCCAACATCACAGCTTTGCTCTGTAGTTAAAAAAGAATTAATTTCCTGGGTATGGGCAAATTAACCAACACAGCCAGCAGGCAGGGTTTGAAACATATCTGCAAAAGCATAGACATCAATTCACAATTAGAAATATTCAATCAACTGTGAGATTTGTTTTCTGGACTTCAGGCAAAGTTTCAATGAGATTTGGGCAGTGTAAGAAGAAAGGAAGAGCAAGAGGACGTTTTGGCTTCTGCTCTAATTAAGGGCTTTTTATCATTGCAAACCTGATTAAGTTTCTCTCATGATTAATTCCCCAGTGCTAAAATACACAAAACTGTGTAGATCTTTGGCAGAGAAAGATGGCTTGCCAGTTACAATAACTCCATGAGGTTTAACATCTGGAATATATAAGCAATAAATAAATAAAATAAATATAAATGAATTGGATCACTGACACTCCTGTGAAGTGGGGATCTTTGAAACACTTGGGATGGACTGTGAGAAATTAATGACCTGTAGATTAGTCTCATTCAAATAAAATACTCTTTTAGGAGAAAATTTGATAAATTAAACTAACTCTATGCAAAATATCTAGCTATAAGTCAGAAAGAAAGAGAGAATGGCAAAAGCTTTATAGACTGTAGATGGGTAAAGAAACCAATGTTTCCATATGATTTACTTCTACAAACAAGATGATTCAGATTTAACAAAGGATATTGAAGATTTTCTTGCCTAAAATAACTAAGACAGAGAAGTCCTAATTAGTGCTAAATTTATAACACTCAGGAGATCGTGTTATTCCTTTTATTAATTTGCTAATAGCTGAGTTCAAGGGACTCCCCGTTCCCACTGTGGTCCCATTAACACTTCAAACCACTAATTGCTGCCTCCCCTGGCTGCAGGTTCCTGGATTCCCAGCTCTTCTCTGGAAAGAAAATATATTTGGCTATTGAAACACAAGGAAAGGAGGAAACAACAAAAATCTCACTTTAGAATAATACTTTCAAAAAAATTTGTTAGGATGGCACCATAAGCCACCATCAATATTTTGCACACCCGGGGGTTGCTCAGTTTGGGAATTCTTTGAGAGACTTTTACCAAAGTTTTTAATTCAAGTCAACTTTAAATTATTATTCAAAGCATTAATCTATCCAGGAAAGTTCTTACGTAATAGTGGTGCTTGCATTCATCACCTTTTGAGGGCTTCAGCTTGTATTTGCTGATTTATGTGCCCAGAGGGATTCCCTGTGTCAAGGCACCTCCTCCATTAAGTGTGGAGAAGAGGACTGGAAAATGTGGTGGGCTGGCCAGAACCCACCCAGCTGCTCTCACTCCCCCTCCTCAAGGGTTGAGTTAAAGAAAAGGAAATCACTTACCATTAGAGGAATTTGAATTTAAAACAGTGACTGGAAAAGTAAAAGGCAAAGCTCAGACTGGCTATTGCCAGGGGCTGGATTACTAGGGGGGAATTTTTTTTTTGTTTAAAAGGGTGAGAGACGAGGATGGAGCTGTACTGAGGGTGTTTATTGCCCACCCTGGCGGCGTTGTGGCGGTGCCGCTTCCCTTTTTGGTGTGAGGAGATTTTTTTTTTTTGTGGCTGATATCATCAGTAAAGCTGTGAAGGGTGTGTGGCAAGCAAGTATTTTAATGACAATTATTAAATACGCCTTTTGCTGAGGCGAGGAGGGGAATTTATTGGGCCCTGGTGCCCAGGCGCTGTCGGTGGGGCTGAGGGACCCTCTGAGGGGAGGCCGGGGCGGCCCCATGGTGGACACAGCTGGTTCCACCACAGCCCCACTCAGGGCACGGCTGAGCTTGTCATCCACTGCCTCTGGAAGAAATGCACTTAGGAAAGGACAAAACACTGTCTGGCAGTGACAGCTGAGGTAAAAAGTGTGAGAAACAGCCCCGTGAGCACCATGGTTGAAGGAGGAGGAGGGTGGGCCTGGCTAAGGGTTTTCCAGAGGCCCTTTTCCCACTTCCCCCCAGTGCAGCGCAGGACACTGGAGCTGGGGAGTGCTGGCCAGCACTGCCCCCATCCCAGCCAAACGATCTAGTGGGTACAAATCATCCTCTTCTTGTCTCACCCCTCACTCTGCTACTGCCCAGGTGTGGGGGATTTAACTACACAGAGTATATAGCCACTTGGTCCCGGTGTGAGAGCTGCAAACTGCCGGGAAGAAGGTGTGTGGAAAAATGAGAATTCAAGGAACCTGCAACACTTACAAGGTATTTTGGTTGTAAATATCCAACAGAGACGATTAACATTGATCCTACGGGATATTTTTAGAAAAAAAAATGGATTTTTAACACTGTACAAGTGCTATTCAATACATACTTATTGTATATGTGGTAGCTATAAGCAGACAGGCAGGTGGACTAAATACCAGTAGCCAGAGTGGCTATATCTGCTCAGTTTTTGCAGGTGAGATTTACTTCCTAACAGAGGTTTCTTTTTCTGCTCAGGAACCATCTCTGCAACCTGCCATAGCACCTGTCAGCCCACCCTTTGTGTTCTTCCTGCTTTGACCCTCTGACTGCTGCTTCATTTAGGTAAGGTACGTGAGGCAGCCTCAGTAGGGACATGCAGCATCCAGCCTGAGGTGTCCTCACTGGGGCCTGGCCTTGAAGCCATACACCTATGTGAGATTGTCAGCTGGATGTGGCACCTGTTTCCCTCCCTCTGCACCTTTTTCAGTGCAATTCAGGCAAATTACTTTGTATCTGGCATTTAGTATGTTGGTACCATACCCCTTCACGCTCAGCTATCTGCACTTTTCTTTGCACACCTGCAGGTCTTCTCCTGGTTATTCGTTCTCTCCTCTTATTTGGAGGGTCCCATAAATCCCTATCTGCTCAGGCAGAAGGATTTGATTCTGTGACACAGTGCCTGACCTCCTTTGTTACAGCCATGCAGGCTGATGAGCCTTCCCTTCAGTGGGAAACAGGCTGGCACAGGCGAGCTAGATTGGTTGGGGGGTCCTATATGACAACAGAGCAGGGGGACAAAAGAGGAAACAAAAGAGCATTATTTTTGCACAAAATGGATTTGTCAAGAAAAAAAGGAAATCAAAGATCCAAAGGGTTGCTAAAGCCAGGAGACTGACTAATGGAGAAAAGGCACTGGAATGACTCTTTTATAAGCATCAGGCTCAGGACACATTACTGATGGGAAAAGCCTCATGGCTGTAGCTTTAAACCTATCCTGAGAGGATTCTGTGAGACAAAGGGCAGCAGTGGCAGCTTATGCTAAGCTCTGCACTACTTTCACAAGTGAGACATTTTGGAAATATGAGCCTTCATTTTCCAAATGAGAAAGTGAGAATTCTTTGCTGCAGATTTATTTCCTTTCCCTTCTGTAGGACAAGTGGGAAATGCCTGGCATGTCCTTTGACCTCCTATTTACCACTGAACTCCCAATCACCTGTGTTGTAAAATAAAACAAACCAAGAATGTGTGCTGTTTCTTCTCAACATGTCCCAGTCATGCAGTGGGTGGCAATGGGTTAATGCCCATCAGCTCTGATGCCTCACACCTGAGAGGCAGAGGCCCAGCTGGCCCTAAGGGAGAGCAGGGAGCACCTGGGACTTTTTCTAGGGGAGTGGGCTGGAACCTACTCGTTGAGGTGAAGTGTTGTTAGAGTGGAGATGTTTAGTTCCTTGGTGGAAACCTCTGTAAAACTTAGCTTGCCTCAGACTGAAGCTGGATTGCCTGTTTTGGGAGGTGAAGTGTTTGCCTTGGCTGACTTTGGTTGCTTCCCATGTTTCTCACGGCTGGAAGACTGGAAGTGCTGCTGGAGTGGACATAATAAGGTACTGCTACTTTTTTATTTCCAAGTGTCCTTGAAAAGTCCTTTTCATAAAGATAGTGAACTTTTGCTGCATCATTAAGCAAAGCATGAAAATAGAGTAGATTGGCAGGGTTTTCCTGGCAATGTAATTGTTCTTTTTATCCCTTCCTATAAGGTTAGGTTATATATGAGAACCAGTTTGTAAGGCAAACACCTGAATGCTTTGGTGAAGAGCTTAGGGGAATGAATGCAAAATGGTGGTCTTCATCTTGTCTTTTATTAAGTGCTCAGATAACTGTTTGACTGAGGCCAAAGACCATTAGCTGGGACTAAATCAATTTACAGGATTAGGAACTGCTTTTTAGAACAAAAGCACAGGCAGTTGTGTGCCATATGGGGGCAACTCTATCTGGGTGCAACATCTCCAGGTTCATTGTCTGAATGAGAGAAATGGCTTCACAAGTGGCTGTGGGTTGTGCACATGTTTTAGGAGGTGCTTAAACACGAGCCTCCCTTTTTTTTTTTTTTTTTTTTTTAATGTTTTATTCTTGACCTAAGCATTTGGCTCTTGTGGAGAGGAAAATACAGTGTGTGGAAAAATGAGTCAGCCAGCTTCCTGTGGGAGGGACTGCCGGAGGCACGATGCTTTGAATGCTGCAATAAATTAGCACTGGAGATAACTCAGAGGACAAAGTGTGCCTGGAGGACACACCATGCTAAGTAGTGCACGAAGTGGCTCCTGCTCTCTGTGTGCAAATTCCTCTTGCAGAAGTAGTGGGGGAGATGAGACAGCTCTGCACAGAGGCTCCCAGGCTGGTGTCTGGGCTCTGAACAGAGCTGAATATGGGCTTGTTGGCAGCAGCCTGGCTCCTGGTTGTTGAGGAGGAATAGGGTAAGAACATGTAACACTATCAGGCTCTCCTAGTTCCGTGTGGATGCTGCACATCACTTGGAATGAAGCATTTGTTCCTCTGCACTTCAGTTATCTGTTTGCACATGGAAGCAGAAAGGGCTTATGGCTGCAATAATTGATCTGGTCTTGCTCAAATGGAGCTGAGAGGAACCACAACATTAATTTCAGTGGAGCACATCTTGGGTCCAACATGTTGCAAGGGGGTCTGGGACCTTCAGGTTAAAAAGTCTGTCATTCCCCCCACACCTGTGTGTGAGACTGCAGTTCCTGAAGTTTTGTCTTGGACTAGCAGAGGGAATGGTACAGTTTGAAAGGTAGATGGTTCATGTTTTGCATCAGTAAGTTCAGCGGTCTGCTCTCCTAGATAATTTCTAATGCATTTCTAATGCCTAATTTCCATGAATAAGTTATTTTTCCCCTGACAAAAGGCATATTTCATCTTGATAGAGCATTTTGGCTGTTACCTTTGATGTGGGTTTTTAATCCAGATTTGCTTGAGCTTAGTCTGACTTTTCTATGTGAGCTAAAGGTTGAAAAATATTCCAGTAAACTTCTAGTGAGCCATAAGCATGGGTCAGATGACAGGATAATGAAATACAAAATGCCTGACTAGTTTGGAAATAACTGAACTGGAAACGTGAAGACTTAACCTGGTCATTAAAACCTTTTGAAAAATTAAGCAGAAGGTTGTGATGGTGGAGGCAAGGAGAAATGTAACATTCCCTCCTGCTCTGAGGGACTTTGCTGTCTTCCCCTGGTAGCCAGAAGTCAGGACAGCCAATCTCCATTCTTGAATTTATTTTTTTATGAAATTCTTTTAGTCTAAGACTTTAAGCCTGAAGGTGTTCAAGCTCAAATGTGCCTGGAAGAAAGCGACAATAATTAAACTTTTTGCAGTCTCTTACTCTGGCTTTAAGCACTTTCTCTCCTTTATTTCAAAGAAAATTAAACTGAGCTCCACTGGGGATATCTAGTATGTGTTGGTAGGCTAGCAGCTCTGTTTGCTCTTGCAATCTTCATCTATACACCTTGTTAAGCTCACAATATACTGGTTTAGGATTTAGTAGTATACAAACCAAAAGTTTTCCAATATATGTAGACCTGATGCTCAAACCTGCAGTTACAAACATGTCTGAGTGCATGAAAATACTGGTGTCTGTTCCCATACATGTGAAATGACTGAGTGCCAAAAAAGATGGGGCAAAATTCAAAGAGTTGGTTTAAAATATAATAATCTCTCTCGAGAAATCTTCAGACAGGAAGATTTTTCTAAAATGTAGATTTTATGGTAGATTGACCTGGAGATGTTTTATTAGCTTTTAAATCCCTGCCAAGTTTGATTCCAAATAACTTCTATCAGGCTGTTTTTTTTAAAAGTAGTGCTGATGTGTTTGCTACTTTCTTACAAAACTTGTTGAATTTATTTCAAAACTCAGAGGAGGAAGAGCTAAGAAGTAATTTTTAGGAGCTTGGCTTAACTAAACCAAGACAGAAGATGTTTTGTGCAGAGGGCTTATTTCTCATGGCTGATACAGTAGAACTTGTGGGTCCTTTCTTTAGAAAAATAAGGAAACCCAAACCCTATAGTGAATATTGGCCAGGATGAGAGCTACAGCTTCAAACTATTCCATTAAAGCCTTCTCTTCACTAAATGCTTTAATCACTGATATGTGCAAAAGTGTCATAAGTGAAAGGTGAATGACATAAAAATGAGTAAATCCATGACAAAGTTTTTGGGGAAAAAAACTCCCAAACATGAAAATCATGTGGCAGTATGTCACATTCCAATGCTTAAATAAAAAGGTACAAATCTGCTTTCTTGAGGGATCGTTCTGGAGCTGTTAGGTAACACGTTACTTAAAAATATTTCTTGGTCAGCTAGTATTTGATCTGTCATTCTAAGCACAGCAGAACTGGGCTGGATACCTGCAGACAAAAAGCTGCTAGAGATATCATTTAACTTAGCAATGCTTCTTCCTGTACTTTGGCAGCCTCCAGCTATATCTGAATTGTTCTCCCTCACTGGCAGCATGAAATGATCTGTTTAGAGCATAAGGTCTTTGGAGCAGACTTTGAGCACAAGGCAGACCTTGCTCTTGGTGATCGCTGACAAAAGATAATTACAGTGTGTTCGTAATAACATCTGAGCACTTTGATCTGCTGCAGCCCAATCTATACTTTGTACATTACCATATGTAATAAGTACAGGATCACTTGTCTCCTTTCAGCCCAGCTTTGCTCTGTTTCCACCAAGGTTCAGCCCATGACTCAGTGCAGCAGATGATGGAACACAGAAGCACTTGTTTACCTCCTGTGCAGTGCCACAGATGTCGGCACTAAGGGGATTAAGTCTTTAATTCGTAGATCCTCAGGGCAGGGCTTGGCCTTCAGAGCAGTCTGCACCTCCACAGCAGTGTGTAGGGGCAAATATGCAATAGTAACTTCTCATTTAGAGCCTAAAGTAAGCCACAGCAGGTGTACTCAAAGTTGAAGATAAATTTTCTGAACAACACCTGTAACCCAGCTTTTGGGAAGCTGCTGAGTACTTCTGTAAGAGGCCAGCTCTTATGCATGTGCCAGCCTGGCAGGTGAGGTGCTCCTCTGAAGAGACTGCATGGGTGTAGCTGTGGCCAGTCTCTAGATGATAGGAGGGTCTGGAAACAAGAGTGTGGATCTCTCCTTGGAGCTTTGTCCTCCTACAATCTAGCTTTTTAAAAGTTCTTGCATGAATTTATTTAAACAACAGCTTTTGGCAAACTCACTGGCATCTCGGTACTTTAAGTCCTACAAAAAGCTGTGCTTGGAATTAAAAAATAAAGCAAGTAGATGTGGAGAGCAAACATAGCTGAAAAACGAGGTGGGTGCAGCACATGCTGTGGGATGGCATATAAAATATACCATGCCAAATCATACACAGGCAGGAGGATCATTATCAGGGAGTGGAAAGAGCCCCTCTCTATATGAGTTTCAAGCTTTGGTGTATCTGTAAACATCAGTAAAGGTAAAGCATGGATAGTCCTGTATGGGGGAAGACAACACAGTCACAAACCCTTCTTGTGTTCAGTTATTTTTCTGAAGGAGGAGAGGTGCAGTGCTGCCAGAGGAAGAAAAACCTGCTGTAGCAACATCCCGGCAGCTGTGTTAGAATAAAGACTGTCTGGGAGCTGGAGTCCACTGAAAGCATCACAAAGACTGTGCTTGGCTGTGGGCAGTGAATTTGGCCCAAACATGTTAGATTTAGACTCGCACCTGTAGCCAAGGTTTTGCAAATGCAGGTCAGGTGTCATTGAATCGCAAGCCCTTTTCCCCACTAAGATGCTGCTTAGAGGGGTAAGAATCATTCAAGCTGTGCTTTTTTGGCACAGAGGCTGTTGCTTTCTGACAGCTGACTCCAAGCAGGCTCTCAGGAAGCCTGGGCTGAGTCAGGGAGCAGTGACAGGCAGGTCTGGGGACTGATCTGCAGTCCAGGCGTGGGGCAAACCAGTGCTGGGGTGTGGAGACCTGTAAGCACTGCACAAGATCTTACACTGGGAGATGTTGTGCAGATAGAATTGGCAGCCTGTCCTGTGTGTCTGATGCTGAGAAAAGATCTCTTAGCCCTGGCAGGTGAAGGTTTGATGGCTGAGGCTTTGTGTGGTAAGGAAAAGCACCCTTGATAAAGCTGTCATGAAAAGAGAAAAGGGGAGCATGCTTCCCTTCACCAAAGTTTCCTGTGTCATCTTCAGTGATTTGTCTCGGAGGGGCAGAGTGTGTAAAGGCCTGGAGGTGCCCTTTGGGGACAAGGGGAGGGGATAGGGAAAATGCTGTTGGCTTTGGCTCAGGTGCTTTTAAGCAAATGTCAGTACTGATGGCATGTACCCTGTGCATGTGCTTTTTGGCCCTAACTAGGGAACAGGAGACCAGCTATAAAGTCAGCAAGAAAAACACAACAAAACTGGTGTGGCAGCAGTTGTTCTTCAGCTTTGAAGACTCCCTGGTAAGTTACTGCTGGGAGTGTGCTTCATTTTGAAAGCCCTGTTTGAGTGTGATCATACTTTACTGCGGCAAATTTCATTGCTTTCTAGTTATGTTTTAATCACTTTATCTTCAGCAGAGAGGGCTGCCTTGCTCAAGTGTGTGGGGGTTATCCTGCACTTGAGCACGGGCTGATCTCCTGCTCCAGTTCTTCTACTACAGTAGGATTTTACACTGGGATCTTCCCTAGCTTCCCTGCATATAAATGATTAACTTTCTCTTCCTTTTGCTGCCTGACACCAAGAGCGATGTGACCAGTGACAGAGGAGATCATGGTATTCAGCTTCCAGCAGTTTTTATTACTCCTGCTGCTGTAGCTGAATTTCTCTATGTGCACAAGCCTGTGGTAGCAACACTAAATCTCCTGAGCGCCTGCTGTGTGCTGGAGTGTCTAAAATGGTGCTGTTTGGAACTCCTGCCAGTACACAGACATGAGTTAGGAAGATTTTTATCCTATCTGTGCTAAAAATCCCCTGCCTGAAGCCACTGATCCCGCCTCTCCTTCCTTGCATGTCTTGCATGTGATGAGGTGTGTGCTGGAGCTGGCAGATGGCTGGGGAGCAAAAGGTCCACAGAAACATGCAAAGAAACCAGGCTGCATCATTGGTAACCAGCTTGTGCCAAGACTTGGATTTTCTTCTGCCTGTCACTACCCTGCCTGCACTGGCTTCCCCACCACCCCTTGGCTTGACTGTTTTGTGACCTACCTCCTGGAACAATCTTGGAGACCTTTTTTCCCCTCCTCCCTCAGCTCTTTCTAGTTGATTACTCTAGTAGATATCAGCCATGGCACATTGTTGAATCCCTATATAGGCACAGTGCTGTGACAGAGATTTGTTTGCTTAATTACAGAAATACTATTATTTATGCTGTAGTGTGTCTGCATTTGGTTTTGCTCCTGAGGCTGGTGCTGCTTTCAGCCTCCTTTCTTTGGCTCTGCTTAAAGATTTTTTTTTTTAATTCAGTTGAATTAGAGCAGATGTCCTCAAGCTGGGATGTTATAAAGACTCAGAGTGAAGAAGGAACAAGTAGTTTAACCATGTCACTAGTGCATCACAGTCTGTTTTTAATCACTTAGATACTCCAACCCTTAACACTTATACACAGTGCAGTGCTACTCAGCTCCCTGCACTGGCAGACTCTGCATCCTCCCACGTGGGGACAGGTCTCAAGTCAGGACCATACATGGCAAAATTTGGCCCAGGAATGCCAAATGGGCTTCCGAGAGACAACCAACTTCCACACCAGGCCCAGACATGGTATGGAGCAGAGACATTCTCCACTTGCAGAAAGCTTGTGTTGTACTTCCTTGGCTTGATGCTTTGGTGATGTCTGTCTGCTTTGACAGTGGGGCACGAGGGTGCAGCACATAGCTGCTTGCTCAGAAGCAGAAAGTCTCAAGTCAGACAGTGTATGCACATCATGTGATGACCTGAAACCCAGCTGGTTTACAGAAATTAATAGGTTAAAGTATAGCATAAATTTGTTAAGCTCTTGCAGGGATTTGGCATTTCCCAGTGTGATCCCCACTGGCACCAAGGGACGGGGAAGATAAAGATATTAGAGCCCAAGTTTTTAGCACAAGCCTTTTTTTAAGTCCTAATTCAAAATACAGCCTTACATGTCAAGATGTGAAACACCAAGTGTATCCCTGTCTCAAACTTATTTGTTTGGGGGACAAGACAAATAGTACCACTTAAAAAGCTCCATATTGGTTTTCATCTTTACTCAGGTTTGCTGAAAGGTTCTTGGATTTAATATTGTTTATGGCAACATTTAAACATTACCAGGAAAGAAGAGTGTTTGGTCAGGTCCCTTCATAGAGTTGGAATTTACACGAGGGTTATAAGGCTCATTGGGGCTAATCCCTGCTAGCATTATACATCATCTGACAGTTGCCAAGGAGACAAGGATAATCTGAGTGAAACAAGATATGTGAGAAGGGTATTTATGGACATTTGCTTAACGATGCTGGTGGAATGCACCAAAAAGTGATTATATGAGTGCCTTTGAAGTACTGTCTCTTCTGTGGTGAATATGGAGGACTGGTACACATGCAAAAAATGCTCCAGTGATATTAAAGCAGCAGCAGCCTGGCCTTGATTTTTCCAGTTCATCCTGCAGTGGCCTCATGCAGTGTTGTGGAAGGGGCAGACAAGGCTTTTGTGGTGCTGCAAGATGGTTGTCCAGCCACCTGCACTCTGTGGTATCAGCAGAGTATAAATAAGGATAAGCAGTATAAAGAAGCCATTTCAGTCTGTGGTGCTGGCAGAGGCTTAATGAAAACCATCCACTTGATGTGCCCAAAATACTAGGAGGTGCCTCATGCAAATGTCTTGTGTGCCAAGGGATGTGAGGGGAAGGAAGAGTGGAGGAGATGTGTATGTACATACAGGCATGGAGGTTCTATGTGCTTTGTCAGTGGCTTTCCAGACAACCAGCTGTTTCCCCCATCCCTGTCCCCAGGGTGAGTTCAGTTGCCCGTGGCCACCTGGCTGTGGGCTTTGGGTGCTTATGTCACATTCACCGAGCTGTGGGCAGGATTAACATCATGGGCTACTTGGGATGTGGGTCTGAGCAGGTATTTTGGTCAGTTATGCCACTTTCCCTGACCTGGGGTGACTTACAGCTCTGCTTAGGGAGATTAAAAGAAGCCGGAGAGTTAATATCTTCATTTGAACAAGTTCATGCTTGGAAAGGCTTCTGCATTCCCTGTTTCACATGGCAAAATATTTTCTTGGCATTGTGCTCACTGACCATGAGAAGGGGCAGAGACTGATGGAGGAGGCCCATGTCTGGGACCAGGAGCACTAAAGCTCTGTGGTCTGGAGCTGTCCCACACTGGGCAAATCTTCCCTTCCTGTGCTGAGGTGAGGCAAATGAGGGCAAAAGGCTGCCTTGTCTCCTTCCCTCTCCCCCAGCTTGACCTCTTTAGTCTCTGGTACTGTCTCTTGATGGAGGATTATGAAGGATGGGAAGACAGAAGGAATTTCCTGAGTTTTGAAAGCCTGAGTACTCCTCTGAAAGGGGGGAGCTGCTGAGAGCCAGCCTGAAGCTGATGGGCTGTGTCTCGTGATGCCACAGTTAATCTGGGTAAGCAGAGATTAACTGAGCTGCTGGATTGGATAATGCCTGGAATGGTTTCTTGCAGCCTCTGCTGATAAAGCAGCCCAAGACTAAGAGACCCCTCCTTGTCTGCAGCTCTGCAGGGTGAGGGCCTGTGCCCATGGCACCACTGCCCCGGCACAGAAAGGGCCCGGGAAGGGGTTGTATTAATGAAATCGATTTCATAAGCATTTGCCTTGAGCTCTTAAAGCTTTGGTTATTTATTGGTTAGTCTTCACTAAGATATCTGGTCCCTTGTGCTAAGGTGGAAAGGGAAATGAAGACTAAGCAGCACAACATTTAGGAAGAATTTGTGCATGAAGTGAAATAACACAGAGTAAAGCCTAGGGAAATAAATCTCTCTGGAATAGAGGCAAACTTACAGGAGTAATTTGAGTTGGCAAATCCCTGTGCAACTTCATAGCTGATCAATAGATGTTATTTGGACAAATATCACACTGCTAAATTCTACAATCTCTTTTGAACAAACATGGTCATTTCAGGCTTTCTCATTTGGCTTTATCTAAACATAAATCTGCTGGAAAGTGTGACTCCCATGAAATCTGAGTCTGCTAAGAGCTCACGTTCAAGCAAAGGTTGGAACCTACCTCTGAATAGTGGCCTGTTTACATTTGTTTGCACTCTTTCATTCCTTTATGCCCATGAAGATGAAAGTGCAAGTCAGTTCCAAAGTCTTTGAGATCACTTATGCCTTGTGAGTACTCCTTCAGGCGTCTCTGCCTCTTCTCTTTAGTATTCATACATAGCAAGAAGGCTTGACCTGATGTTAGTGAAAGTCTTGTCTGCATAAAAGAGAAACCTCAGAAGGCTTAACTTTGCCTAGTTCTTCCCATGTCAGTGCAAAAACTGTTCAGCCATGCCTGACCAGTGACTACTTGGCCACTTCCCAAAAGCTTCCTTTGTTGGAGACTTTGTAGAATCTCTGGGCCATCTCCTCTACTCAGCCAACCTTACAGCAAGGATCTTTTTCTTCATGTCAGTCTAATTCCTACCCTGCAAGTTATACACATTGTCCTTTATGTAAGGGATATGAAGAATGAGGCTTAAACTTGTCAAGGAGTAATGTCTGACTGCTGGCCTTTTCCTGGGGTGGTACATTTTCAGTATGGGACATAGGTCACTAAGTTTCTAATCCACACCTTAAAAACCCAGTTCATCCCTATTCTGTAAGATCAAGAGCTCTTGTGTATTCTGCCTGAGTGGAAAGGAGACTTTTCCTACAGTAGGGTCTTTTTTTATTGGTTTATACTGACAATTGCTGCCTAGTCTGTCAGTGTTTCAGTCTTCTGGTGTTGCAATAAAATCTATGCAAATCACTTGTTACTAAGTAAAGAAACACTTGAGAACTCTTTAAGTACTTCTCCAAAAGGTTCCCTTCTCTTAAAACTTGTGGGTGTTTATTTGGTCCTGAAACACTTCACCTGCAAAAGCTATTGGGACTGTGGATCTCTTCTGCAAGTATAGACCCTTCCCTCTAGCAAGTCTCGAGGCTTATACCTCCTTGGAGTCCTGGTGTGAGCAACAAATCTGCTGGTCTAATACATGAATTACAGCAGACTTCAGTTTTCCTGGATCTGAGTGTGTAAGCAAACAAATACAATGGTGCTTTGTTCAACAAGTAACCATGAACAGCTTAGGCTAAATGGTTGCCAAATGGAACAGCTTTCTAAGAGCACCTCTGTCACTTCAAAGCTCTGCCAAGTCTGGAAGCGGATTCCAGACTTCCAAGGATGTGGAGAACAAGGGAATCACAAGGTTAAATTTTCCTCTCTTGGTGTACTGCAAGTCAAGGCCAAGGTGACCTCAAAGAAACTGGTCTCACAACAGCTTAAGGAA